AAGAGCAGCTAATAATTGCATATGTCGCGGGTACTCTCATCTTTATCGGTGCCATATGCTGTGATTTCTCAGTCTTTGGTGGGGATTTCACACCGTCTCTTCCGTTGACTTAACAGCTTTCTCAAGAACATAACATTCATGGTGAGTGTAGACCCATACCCTGTACTTAGTATGGTTCTCCAAAGGTTCTGCACTATGTCTCAAACTATTTAATGTTCACGTTATCCAGGCCCCGTCCCCAACATGTTCACTTCCACCAGGCTTTGCAAGCCATATTAAAATCCGGTAACCAACCCATTGTGTTGATGATATAATGAAGCAGCATTTTGAATCAGATGTGATTTATGGATAGGAACTAATACGTGAGCTCCAATCTGGCACCCAAAAATTCACGGCCATCTTATGTGGTACCGATAGCACACTCCAATCCTGAGCAAGACGTGAACATTCATCCTTAGTGGGCTCAACCCGGCAAGCGACATTGAGCTAACGGCTAAAACAGATTCTCGAATAGGAAAACGAACCAATCCTAAATGGACAGCTTTCAGTCAATTTACTCCAGCATTATCAAACCACTGCCAACAATCTGCATCTAGACTAATCTCACTCCCTGGGTCCGTGCAAATGAAGGCCGCTAAAAGCGTCAGAGGCCTAGAATGTCAATCCTATGAACACAGCTTTAAACAGCCTAGCATTTAAGATATTGGATTCTCCAGACCTCATCCACACGTACAAAGTCATACCAAACCCACGGTACCCATACCAAGGACTATTCAACTTTACAATGCATGTTCGCCTCCGCTCTAAGCCACCGGCATAACCGCCCGCTATGCAAAGAAAAATCCGTCAGTAAAAGTTACACCAGACTGGAGCGCGCTTACGGTTGAAGTAGTCCTTGCCAAAAACCGCCACAGAATATGGGTAGCATAAAGTCTACATGCACCAGACACTTGTGCAGGGTTGACTCCCGTTTGGAGGACAATCGCGGGAAAAAAAGGCCACACATCTGTCACTAGATTCTTCACTTTTACCAACTTCCCTGTCTGATCTTGTCACTCCACTATGGTCGCCGTGCTTCTATGTCGCGATAATCCTGTGTGGTACCCTGGCTGTAACTCAGTTTCTAAAGGTTCAACTTTACGAGGAAGTTCAAAAGAAAGTAGTCAAACCAAGGGCAGCGTGATCCCTTACTACAATTAATCGTATTGCAAGGCTGTCTGAAAGAAGGCTTACTATCCCCTGCGATATGAGAGTGAAAGCGGTAAGTTGTTTCCCCAGGCGACCAGCAAGTACATATCCATGGAAGCAGCGATGCTTCCTTCCCATAAAGGAGGATGAGTTAGGAATGGTCAGCCGTAAAAGCTGTTCAATCCGATCGCTGGCGCATTATTCGATCGAAATACCTTCAAATCCAAGGAGTTTAGTGGTTCTGCAAAGGTGTATTATGTGGGTAGCCGCATTAAGAGTCAGACCGTTATGCATTACCTCTCCTGTCGCCAGGCCATTCTCCTGCAGTCGTTCCGATCAGACTATTGAATCATTAGCTCTAGGAAGGGCCTCTCCAAAAACTAACGACCACTGCACCGTGGTTCAGACTTTTGAATCAAAGATTCAAGGTGAGGTACCTCAACCGGCTATTTCCGACATGGGCAACCGAGAGCTACCATTCACCTTTACGGCTCTTCATTCACTAACTCCTCCCCACACTTCTTTCATCCAGGTTCTTCTGGTTCCCCTACCCGTTGTTACGTACCTAAGGTTCTGTCTAGCAAGATAAATACAAACAGACTTATTAAATTCAAAGGATCTGTTCCTTATTGTGGCTTCCAACTTGCGTATGCCAAACTTACCAACAGGTAGCTCTTGCTCAAACTTTGTTCCCTCTTTAGACCAATGTATTTTCCGTCCCCGAAGCACACATACAAAATCCCGCTTAGGTTACAAATCCAACCGCTCGGGATGAGCCAAGATTTCTCGAACTTTGCTCTTCGGTTTTCTGATGATCCTTGTATCTACGATGTGAGAGTTGTGTTTAGCCCCAGGAATAAATGCTCTTTGCTGGAGTGGATTTCAGCCGATAGTCAACTTTGTGTATTTGGGATGACTGGTTCAAACAAGATCGGTACATCTCGACACAGTAAACTCAACGTGTTTGTTGCGTCAGCCTACGTTCCAACGGATGGGCAGCTTTGAGGCTAAGAATAAATTGTGATTTGTCACGGTTGTTCCGGTCAGCGAAAACTGCACGTATCGTAACTCTGATAGGCACTATAAATATCCAGGTCAGCCGACTGAGTCCTGAGAAAGTGCATCTTGGTGACCGATTTTGGTTTGACGCTAGGTGCACGGGGGAGACCTTTTCAACTGGTTATTTCTAGCCAGCACAAGAGGTCACACTTCGTGACTTCCAGACCACCAACTACAAGTCAGCCTTTCATTCAGTTGGACCATGTGACAATCAGCTACCGGTTGAGTTTCCATACAAAATTGCCATTGATTTTAGAATACACCACTTCACTCCGATCACGGCATTGTGCGGACATGCGCATCTGCTTGCTCTAGAATAAGTCGGCTGCAAAGCTTCTCCGTAGCTCAGCAATATGGAATCATGTTTGCTAATAAGCTCCCGGAATTCAACGAACACAACAGTGATTTGGATGACGATTGGAGAAAGATGAAAGAACCATGTCCACCACCTTCGATATTAGTCGTCCAAGGTCACTACCACACCTCAACGAACAGTGAATCTCGTCACGTCCATCACCTCTGATTGAAGCCAGGAAAACAATATTGGCAACAAATGACCATGTTGATGCACGTAAATCCCTCAAGTGCCGAACAGTTCAGAGCCTAAGGAGTGACAGAGCGCACGATTTTTGGGAAATTTTACCCTTCCTCGATAGATCAGCTACTCACACTTTACAGGTTGTAGTGGTTAGGCTATGTGCTTCATGTGCCAAAGAACCGTCTGCCACATAGAACCCTCTTCATCCAGCCTTGTGTCGTACTGTGATGACCCAGAATCGGTCAGTCCGTGACTTGGCAAGTCATCCGCGTTGGCAACTGCTGTCGCCCCGGATGGGGGTCGTAGGACTAGACAGATTCTGAGAGATATGACTGTGCCACCCAGCCAATGGCTGCCTTGCGTCAAAACTACCGCCTTCATTGTGTAAACTTCAGTTTCTGACATACCGAAGAAATGAATCCATTTGCCGTCAGCGCATACATTGAGCCATCACCCCTAACACATGGCTCTAATTCCCTGGTTCTCCTTATCCTCAGTGAACAATCTAGCAGCTGGAACTACTGTCCTTCGGTGCATCATTTGTGGGCTGAAAAACTGAACTAATCTTGTTAACTTTACGTCAATAACGCCAACCTCCTGCTACTGCAAATTTTATGATTTCGGCGAAACGAACGAAGGCCGCACCGGCATCACATACCGTTATTGTTGACCCGACATTCCTGCCGCCCTCCATGAATCTACCTAAATAGTAGATCCGCAAGAAGCCGTTGAACCTGTAGGTAAGTCAGCAAAGCATCCAAATATCGTAATCTGGTGGATGATTTGAATATTCAAGTTGGCCTACTACTGCGTAAGGAAGTACATACTTCTAGGTCGATTACGATTTTGTATGGTCTAAGATGCTGCAAGATATGGCTGTTAATTAATGTCAGTAGGGTTCTTACCGTCAGTTGCTACCCACGTTGTCTGAACGATTACCTAAAGGTATGTTCACCTCGGAATTATTGTGATAGGCTAGCACTAGGTCCGTTTCTCATTTACTTACTTTTTTTGTCACAAGATTTTTGCATAAATTATGGTTGTACGGCAATGATCCATCAGTACTGGATAGGCAGTTGTTCTGTCAAGAATGATGGTAAGATTTAATATCAGTGTCCACCACTCATAGTGTTCAACGACTTCTGCTATGCGCTTATTATCGGCTGTTCCTACTTGACCCGGACCTGCAACACGAATGCTGTCATCATCATTCGGATGGCAGCAACTGCAAATCAACCATTGACCATTTGGTTATCAACTAAAGATCTTTGTTTCAATATTGTCGTCTATTCTTGGGTTGATTCTGATTATGCCTTTGTACAAGCGCCAGCATCAATTCACTCCTCACTCCTGCTCATAGGATTGCATGGTCAAATCGGGGTTGATCATTTTGCCCCGTCTAACAGGCCTCCCTGACTTAACAGTGGAAGTTGTCTAGCTGTAACACCCTTGCGGTGCCTAGCTACCATGCCACCCGAAGGAAGCACGAGGGCCGAGATACTGCCAAATTGCCGAAGTCTTGACAGAGGCAGTCGAGATGCAGATGTCGGGTTCGAACCACGGATCTTCCGGCCATAGTCACTGAGCCATCTCGCGCTAACAGTATCGAATCGAACCAGCTCGTACGCCGTTGGGAGCACCGGTACAAAATGGTTATGGCTGCATGATGTGAAAAAGGCAATGTTCACAGCCTTTAGGGTCATTTCTCCGGACCCTTTGACTTAGTCAAATAAGTGTTGAACATCGTCTCGGTAAGTGACTGTTATTTTGCCAGAAGGAACATGCCGGCAGCTGATTACCATAGTGCGCACAGGTCACCCAAACGTCGAATTCTTAAGAGCTTAAGGCATGTTATAGCCCTGTTGTTTAAGGGAAATCTGGGAAATGGAGAAGGTGTTTCTAGAAATTTGTCGTTGCACTCTGCTTTTATTGCTCCGGTCGACCGGACCCAAGCAATTTGTAACATAAAAAGCCATCTGCGGAAGAGATCGATCAGAAGTTAGCTTGTTGATAGATTAACGGGGCACTTCTGAGAACAATTTATCCGGTTTCCTTCAACATAGACCTTTTAGACAGGGGGTCGGAATGGCATTCAGAACATATAAGTCCGTGGTCCTCTTACACAGCAGGAACTTTGAATAAGTGGACCACCTGAAGACAGAATAACGCACCTTGTCCTCATTGATGTTTAAACCAAACCTTCTCATTGTTTCAGGTTGGCGGATTATTATCAGCCCGATTGAGCATGGCGGACAAGATCCCTCAAATTTCTCTATCGGTTGACACACCGGAAGGACCCATGACTGACGAACGTCCGAAAGTTTCAGCGCAACGCCCTCTGTGAGTTCTTGCAGCAGTATTTCTTCTGTCGAGGTATAGAGACATGTGGCAAAATAATATTTGTTATGCTATCTTCAGCCACAAAACTATAGCAGAGAAGATGGAGACCGAGGAGGAAGCAAATACTCATTGGTTGTGTACGTAAGGAATGATGTAGCAATCATAAGGTCTGGGTCAGAATCCGTTGTGCACAGTCCGGCAGGTCCTGATCACTCGAAGATCACCAGCAGTTTAGAGTTCGCGTTTCGCTCTGCGACTCGAAGTTTCATGGTAATGTTTATAGAGGGTCATTACGATGACTAATTTCTAGAAACTGCCTGATAAGGAAGTTAAGTTGAACCGCTGTGTTGTGTTCGACGAAGGATGGAGTGCGGCGACAAACAGCATAAGAGCGGAAAAAATTGAGGACCCAAAAGCTAGGCTTTATTCACCCAAAACGTTGACTTTGCGAGCTGAAATGAAAAAGTGGCTTGACAATGAACAAGGCAACCTTTTGAAACTTATTTCTGGACACGGATAGACAAAAGGAAAACGGGAACACTCGTCTACAACCGTCAGTAGTACTAATTTCGAGTCGTCGAAGGTAGTCGGTCAATGCTTAAACGCTGAACCTTTTGTATGACCTTAATGAGTGCATCACTAGATGGATTGAAGAGACATGGTTTTCATTTCGTACACACATTGCCTAATGATAAATCGAACGTCCTCTAGGGAGAATGGGAGATTCTCGGAACGAAGGAATTCATTGGGCGTGTTGCTGCAAGATAACAGAGATGCGTACAAGCGTTTTACATCCAGCTGAGATGAAGTATTCGCACAGACGCTCCGACAGAGAGAGAGGCTTTTCTCGATACCTGGTCTCCAGAGCGATAACCTGATAGGCCGTGGTTAGATTTTATCACTTTTTGTTATTCCTTTCTGTCGTGCAGAATACATAAACGCAACAGACCGCTGACCGATTGCAATTTTGAAATGGATTCCGAGTGGGTAATGCTTCCATTTCCGCACTGCTTCGACAACTGCGCAAGCTTCTTTCTCAATTGCAGAATGATTTCTTTTTCACTGACAGACAGTGTACGCGAGAAGAATGCGACCGGTGTGCCATCTTGATTGGGTGTAGCGGAAATCGCAACATCAGATGCACCACTTTCGACAACCAGAGGTACTCTCGGACCGAGAGTGACCACATTGGTATCCATCAACTCTTTTGAGACTTCCAAACTCAGGGACTGGAAGGGTTGTTTTGTGAGTAATTGGGTAGATTTTATCAGAGAAACGGCTTATCCAACGAGAATGGTATGCGAACAAGCCAACCACACGTTTTTGCGACTTTATGTCCTTCGCAAGTGGAAGGACCTGAAACGTTCAGGGTCTGGTCTGATGATACCTTCAGTAATTTGATAGCCACAGAGTCTGATTTTAGTTATGGAAATTGTACTCTTGTCGTGATTTAACTGAAGGCCACGATTTTGTGCTACGGCAAGAAGACGCTGGAGATTTCGGACTTGTCCTTCTTGATTGTTTCCACAAATGGTGATATTATCCATGTATGCATGTGTCCCGGTAAGTTCGTCCGCGTATATTTGAAAGCACGGTACAGCATTCATTACTCCAAACTATATTAGGCGAAGTTTATTAAGATTGTTCCAAGACTCAAAATCCGTGTAGATTCTGTCACTTTCCTTAGTGGGCATTTGATGATACGCACTTTCAAATCAGGCGTGCTGAAAATACTGTACTGGGATATTTTGCTACTTATATCCTGAATTCTGGGGAGCGGGTAAGCGTCTAGTCAACAACCATTCGTTTCTTCTGACGGTCATTTGTCGTGACGGACACTTGCGCTCTCCATGAAGACTCTGAGGATACAATGATTTGTTGATGGAATAAATGCTTTACTCCAGAAGCAATGAAAACTTCGTCGTCTGCAAAATGCCATGCCATCAGAAGAAAGCACGAGGGCTACTGCCTGGTTGCCCTGCACAACTTGGATCAACAAGTACAACTAATGTGATGGGTTCTATTTTGGTAGCGATTAGAACATAAAACGAGAAAGAAGGTTCATCACCATTGAAGATTTCCAGAGACTTTTGAAGTTCGAAAAAATACTGCCCAAGTAGATTATCCGCACATAGATCACCTAGTAGTGAAGACTTGAAAAAGGAGCACACGTTTTGTTTATGCCGCAATGTTAAAAAACAGTGTCCAAGAATGAAGCCGTTATGCTGGGTGGACGCCAAAGTGATCCCAGATGAGGACGATTGCATAGGCCACTGATTAGGACGGACTACACTTTCGAAAATGAAACTTTCCAAACAACCAGTATCAACAAGAGCTCGAAATGGAACACCATCGGCTTTCACATCGGCGACTGCGTCTCTAAGACACTTTGAGGCCGCAGCATTGATGCAAGATAGTGCACTAAAAATGGATGAGTGGTTCCTCAGACCAGTGGAAAATCTGCATACATTTTAAAAATGTCCTTTGATTCCACAATCTTAGCAGATCGCATCTTTAGTGGGGCATTGATAACGCTGGTGACGAGCATAGCTACAGAAAAAACATGAAGGCTTTATACTAGAAACGGCCATTTGTTCGCGAAATGATGGAACGCGAAGAGTTTGATGCGGTCGCACAGGGCAGTTGACTGTTATTGTTTTCGCGCTAGTTCGAGTGATTTTGCATGACCGTAGGTGGCCTGTGTTCCAATAGCCTCTGCCGAATATAGTTCGAATAACATCTACCAATAAATAAGTCTCGTAATGCTTCATCGCTTTGTTGTTCTGCGCCGACAGCAAAGTTCTCTCCGTCTTGCTTACAAGTATTCAACAGATGCCGGGTGAATATTTCATTTTTTGGCCGTACGTAAATCTTTCGCAAAGTTGTGATAGATTATTCGTAGTCCTTACAGTTCTTGATGAAGCGGTACACACTAGGAGCCACGTAATTCAACAGGGTTTTCAGTGATTGAGAAAAAATGGAGTCAAGGAAATCCGCGAATGTACTCCCAGATATCTGCCGAGTCTTGAGCACAGGACGCGAAAATCGACCCACTATTTGATTAAACGTTTTGGATAAATAAAATGTTCTATTCGACGAGGAATAGAGCATGGTGCCAGAGGAGTAATGGAAAAGACTGAGGGTCCAATATCTGAGCTGTATTCACCCAAAACTTCGGCACTGCGAGCGAAAACGAGAAAAAAGTGATTTAGCAATGAACGATGAGACGTTTTGAAAAACAGCAAATATGCAAAACGCCGGCCTCTAATCAAGGGCTTCGAAAAGATCGAATGGGATATTTTAACACGACTGGCAACCTCTTCCGTATGCCACTGTTGTATGAAAGTTCCCGTTTGTACAGGGGACTTCGGCATTATCCTTAATGTTCCTGATTTGTTTGATGGACAGTCAGCCGCGCATCCTGCCTTTCATAGTATTTCAATCAACAGGGCCACACTTGATCATGAAAATGATTCGCAACCAAAAATAGTCATGTAAACTGTACAAAACTACTTAGAGGAACATGGAAAACAGTCATCAGATTACTGGAATTTCGTCACGTTGGGCGAGTCCTACAATCGATAGTTTGGCAAAGAACGTAATTAAATGATATTGCTGACTTTCCTTGTTGAGGCGGGACTTCGTATCGATTCTTTGTCCTTCAATAGCAGATTTACCGGTGAAGCTATAGGGATAATGATTAGTACTCCATAGACAAATCGTAGTAGCCTGTACCACTTGGTTGTTTGGTCCATAAAGCCCTACGTAACTTAGGTGACTTCAGGCACCTATTTCATTGAACGCGTTTTTCATTCGGCGAACAATCCTCAAACCCCCTTAAACCCAGATGGTAATCTTGATCGAATGCAGTAACTCCCCCCCCTTCAAAGTATATGTATTTACCAATTTGCATAAATTCTCCCAAGCTTCCGGTAGAAACTTTTTGCTCTTGAAAACACCGTTTAAAATCCAAGGCGCAGTTCGTGAAACGTTTTAACTACCTTGGAAGCTGTACAAGTTGTTGCTAGTGTGATGAGTGAAGTTACTGTGAGAATCCCGAAGACCAAAACCGCGTTTGCAAATGGATATCATTGAACTTCAAGGACCGTGTTCGTTATTCAAGCTTGAGAGCAAGATACGGGTTTCTCCTTGAAACAGCGAAACTTACACTAAGACAGTTCTGCTCTGTGTATTAAAGAACCACCAAAACACCATCTGTCTGGACACCGCAAACTTGCTGACCTCACTTTTATACCACGTCATAAGCAAGTTCAGTCGGCTTTGTCTGACCCAATTTGTTCGTAAACAACGTGGACACTACACGGATTAGTCAGGATCAAAGTTCCTATTCAGTACTCACTTCTCTAGATATAACATCTGGTCTTGACACCTAGGTAAATGAGATCACCGCGGCAGTGGTGCATCTCAGTCCCTGGAATAAACCGGTAGCTCTAATTTGTATCCAACAGAATCTGGGAGACTTATTTCGAGCCCGGTAATCAGAAGGGTGACTGGAAGATAAATGTGCCTGTTTTAATATGTATAGGCTTTGGATTTTCTTGCCATCGATCTGTCCGTACACGCGGTCAAGTTGCTTGCGAAGTCACAAAAATCAACTGGCGTATGTGAAAAGTCCTGGAAACACAGCTAAATTGATCTGGTCGCTAAGTTTTTGGTCCTTGAATTGGGTCCGGGAGTGGGGGACGGTGGCTCACCAAACGTTGTAGGAATTCAGGAAGTTCTGTAACGGGTTCATGGTTGAGGATACGTCGCTCTGGTAAATGATAATATGGAAGTATAGATGTAGTACACTACTAGTAAAGTTATTGAAAACTCTTCGACAGCCCACGACCGGTTTCGCCCTTCTTGGGGCTCATCAGACGGACGCAGTCCCGGAGTGTCCGTCAACCTTATGTTCCACCTGAACCCAAATTGGACTGATTTTGACAATTACACTCACCCACAGATCGACTTGGTTTTCGCAAGAGACTCAACTGAATCTCTCGTTTGTGATATTCTACAACTGAATGTGCTGTAATACATGTAGTGCTACACGTATTACATGTATTACGTCCATACATGTATCGCGATATCTCGAATATCGTACCGACTGAAACGTGAGACGACCTTTGTGCTGCACATTCAGTTGCTTAGAACATCATTAACGAGAGATTTAGCTGGTTTCCAGGTGAGTCTTCCGTCAAAACCAAATTGGCATGCAAATGAGTGTATTTCGATAATAGGTAAGTGTTTCTGACGCTACAAAGAACCTCAAATGAGTTTATCCCGCCACTTGGAGTTTTACGGATACGGTTTCCGCTAGGTATTTGTCCACCGCAACCCAATTATAGTTACGTTTGGATCTTTTAGTGCTTTAGCGAGTCCGCTCTCCTGGAGGTAGCCTAAACCTTATCCTATAGCGTCGACAGTTTGCTAACATTGTCAGCCATTTTTAACGCAGAATATATATATATATATATATATATGTACGCGATTACATACTACAGTAAATATATATGCATGCATTCATGTATATCATCGGCTATCCTCACACTTATTGTGCACGATTTGGTTTTTGTGTACAATTAGCAGCAAATCTTCAATTTCGAATTCTTAACTTTGTTGTGCAAGTTATCCTGGGGCGATTATCGCTTCCAGCTGAAAGTCCACTTTCACTTATCCCGTACGTTGTCGTTTTGTTTAACTGACCGTCCATATACAAGCATAATTTTTAAGTAATCACCATTGGCAAATGTGATCTCGAGATGAAGTAGATTTCAAAACTCATGCAGCCAACATGAGAGGTACCGAGTTCGATCCCATCTGAAACCTTTCAGTTGTTCTATCCTAGGAGGCCAAACTTCTTCGATGATTCATTTTAGGCCATCTGCACCAAAATTGAACCGTAGTGGATAGACGGCATACTGACTGACATGCAGCTTTTTGGGAGATCCTTGGCTTCTTTGTCCACGTGCATCGGTTGTGCGTCCAGTCTTCTCATCATTCTACAGAGAGATCTCTTCGCAACTAATTTTATCCAATAACCTTTCAGAGGCATCGGACGATGGTTGACAATGACGCAGACTGCAGCGTATCGACAATTGGTTCCAGGCAACGACACCATTACAGACCATGAATTGTTTCTCCACAGAAGCCCAGAAGACATGTGGATGGCGCTCCCACAACACGGTAAACGTAAGTATTCAGCTTTGAAAATCAATTTTACTTCCTTAATACACTACGGAGGACAGATGCAACAAACGAGTTATATTCACTTCCTTTTGTGAGCCACTAAATTGTCTACCAAGTGCAAAGGTTTCAGCAGCAGTAATTTTCCAGTGTACTGGGAACAGAAATTGAAGACGACAAGTTTTTCAATTCGTCTTAAGCACGTGGCCTTGTCTTCCAGTTTTCCTGTTTATTTGTCTCTTAGTCCTCGTCCAGACAGGCGACAACCTCTAACACACCAAAGTATTGAAACCTCCGCTCTCATGGTTTGATCTACTTCGAATAATTTCCACCCAGTTTGCAGTTAGACGGAAAGTACTTTCTGGAGCAGATGCTCCTGTGGCACGTGAACAATGTTCTCGGCTACACCATGTCAAGCATATATCGCTTTTATTGGTGGTTTTGGTAGCTTCTACTGTTTCTTAGAATGAATCTAATCTTGTTTCAGCGAGGGATACTACTTAAGAACTGAATGTACGCTGCGCGTCTTGCCCGATTTCAGTTCATTGCATGACACACTTTATGGAGGTTATTTCTGAAACACTATGCAGAGTTTTTGTAGGTGGTGGTGGGTAGACAGGCAGAAATAACTGGGGTCTCCTATCTTCATGGCCGGGTTCACACCATGGGGCACTCGGATCCACGTTCGTCACTGTTTGCTCACTGTTATGAATGACTCCCTTATTAGATATCCAGAGAGATGTAAGGATTGAGGCCGCTGTGATCATCACAAGCAGGTTTCTTCTACAAAATTATCGCCATATTTTATCTCCGTTTATTGGAATGCCCCTGTTCTACTACATTGCTGTCACGCCTTCTATTACCTGGTGTTTACCTTAGCACTAACGCATATGCTACGCATATACTGGTCGTATGAGAAAGTAGTATCTCGGACTCATGGTGCCCTATTAGTCAGAGCTCAAGATAGCTCAGTGGTTAAAGCGAGGAATTACTGATTGGAAGGTTCATGGTTCAAACCCAATCTCCGGCTCTCGGCTACTCCTGTTTAGACTTAGGCAACCTGACTGTACCGTAGTCATTGTGCTTGCTTTGGGTTGCATGGCAGCTAGCCGCCGGATGGGTGTTACGTCGGTGCTACCGGTGCCTGAAGGCGTTCGAAGGCAGCTTCAGCTCTGGATTGGTGGCATTTCGTTGGCACCGAAAGCTACTTACTGCCTCCCCAAGCCCTACTGAGGGATTGACGCAGTTGCTGCTGTCCACTCGATGTGTTCTTGCACTTTTGATAATCATATTCTCCTCGATACTTTACAAACCTCTCTGATATTCTGTTGGAAAAAAGATAGAAAATGAGCGCTGATCTGTGTTTCATTCTATTCTTGATTATCATAGTCTCATCCTGTCACTTACAGTTTGCGTCTTCGATGTAACCGAGTTTGCCCGATACCACCCCGGAGGAATCGACGTGTTGTTACAGAATGCAGGAACTGATGCAACAGAAGCCTACAGAATGGTAAGTTTCGATCTATGAAAGAAATAAACGATGCTTTGGTCCTGCCTCCACTAATCTATAATTAGCTCAGAGGAGAAATAAATTCATGCAGTGAGTGAAAATTCCATCTGAGAAGTCGTCACTCGAGAAAAAGTTGACACGTTCCGCGTGATGTGGTTTCCATGGTTGAAGGATGAGTGGCACTCTATCCAGACAGATCTTGAACGTTCCTTCTATATTTTCCCAACAACACCATATTGTAGAGACATTGGGGGCTGATTGATGGCGCGAGACGGTGACTGAGATTGCCGTTAAGTCGGGTTCTAAACAACCTACGATTTCCGTCACTTTGGTTCGCAGCTAAATGCCAGCCCAATACAAGTCGTAAAACTGGGGTATCTGCATTTTTGGTGTTCCCCAAGTAGCTCTGATGCAAATGAAAGACACTGGTATCTCGACTTCTTATACGAACGTAGACTACTCCTAGAATGCGCCTCGCTTTTAGATTGAAGTGAAGTTTTCGTTATCTTTGCTCCCGTATCATGCTGCTGAGCAGCAATGATTAACTTGAATGGGTCGCATCCGCCCCAGTCTAATAACTAACTTTTAATCTCTCTATTGACTAAACTCTCAGAATTTTCTACTTAGAACCAAATTAATGGTTACTGATGAACTTTTCAGTCTTGGTGACTATATTCATCTGATACACAATACGTTCCACTCACTTTCTTCGATATTATTCAACTACAGGCTCACTCGTACGTCAATGTGAACATCATTGAAAAGTGCCGACGGGGTTTCTTACGCAGAAGCCAAATTGGTCAAGCTCGGTTCCCCAACCGTAAGTCCACCATCCTAGTTTGTAATCTGTGGAATTTCACTCTATTTTTCACCTTTCGGTCAGTACAGCTAGTCCTGGACGTGTTCCAAAAATGCTTCCATGTAGATCTCCCAATCTGCCATATCGCCTTGGCTTAGTCAAGCCAAATAGAACCCGTTTAAATTGACCGCCGATCAGTAACTCTGGGATAGTGACAAAGGTTATTCAGATTGTGATTTTCCTTCTAGATTAGGGGGTCCACGCCAGTCGTTTTTGGGGACAGAGATTGCTCCATATATATTCCTTGATTTCAGGTGTGATAGAAGGACATCCATACCGCGAACAGTGTCTTCTGAAAGGGTGTTCTATAATAACGGTGTAACACTTCACTGGGTACTTTTCTACTTCCACTTCCCTCGTTACTTTATTCTAGTTCATTCGATAACTATTTGGTAGCAAGGAGATATCTTTTCTGAGTGTGGATTACCTTTGAATTGAAAAGGAAGTGAACGAAGGACGTTACAAAAATCCTGGGCACCGTTGATGCTCTTCGGCTTTCAGGATGGAGCTCACGTAACCCTTCCTGTCCTTGACCGGAGACACTGAAAGATATGGTGGCTAACCCATGTCAGTGGCATTCATCCAGTCAGTTTCTGTCCAGATTGTTTGATAGAGTGTTGGAATGTAAGCTCCTCGGGGTGTTTGTTATTAGTCAGCTCTAGTTCACCCGTGTTGAATTTTTCTTCTCGTTATAAAGCTCCATGAAGATAAATTGATATGGTTGCACATCAGTGATGCACCAGCAAGTTCTGTACTTCAGTAGTTACTGCACTTGTAGTGAATCAATCCGTCTTTTTGGGTGTTGCCAATTTGGCAATCACCACACACACAGCATCCGCACAACTCTGAACTTAGATTACCCCTGCTTTGAAGTTCTATAACCATCTTGCAGTGGTTTCAACCACCGCCGAAAATTCTCTTCCCATGAGTCCTGTAACCGATTAAGTCCTCCCCCACTTTCAGATATTGCAAACTCTCCGAGAGAGTTGCGGCAGACGGATTTCTCTTGTAAGTTAGCGAACCGTTGTGGCCGAATCAAGCAGTTCCACGATAATACCGATAAACATCGTGCACACGATGTGGTCGACCTGTGCACCGTGGACCTTTTCAGCTGTTCAGCACGGAATGATCAAGCTTTACACGACAAGTTTTTGCAGTGGGACTTGCAAACAGGGGCCCCTATTCGCTTTAACCTGAGGAGTAGTGAATCGGGGATTGAGTCCGCGCATCTTTCATCTATCCTCGGACGAGTGACGCTAAATTTTCTGTGCAGGTGGTGTAAGATCCGGACGGTTAAGGATCTCACAGGATGATTGCGACTATTAGATTATACGCAGTTCGTAGCCAGTAGTCGATAGGAGCAGACAGACGTGGGGCAGCAGATGATATATTGAAAACTGACAGGAACTGGTTCTACAGAAAAACGGATTAGTAAGCATCATGAATTAAGAAAACGTACAATCAACAATGACGCAATCTGCAGGAGCGGGAAGTAGTCACTGTCACAGCACGGATTTCTATAGGGGCAACAACAAGTAAGTACCAAACGATGTACAAACATACATATCGGGGCAGTCTGACAGTGTGAGTTGGCCGTAACGGCGCAGGAGTCAGTACGTTCGGAATGTGAGGGACTGTCTTTCGGTCGGCGTCGACGCAGCCGCTCGTGTCGCGCGACAGGTCAGATTGCGCGGTTTCGGCCGTTTAAAACAAAGCTCAGCAGGGGCTCTGGCAGGCGTGATACATAGGTAATACAAAATAATCAGCCTCTCCGAATGTCGGGTCGGTGTAGTCGGTAGGGCGTTCCCCTGCCGTCCGGAGGGTCCGGGTTCGATACCCAGTCAGCCCGATTTCCCGTCGGAGTGGGCGCTCAAAAAATAGGTGCAATCTAGGCGAACTTGCAGGCAATGACAGACGGGCAACGAATATTGACATCACTTACTGAGGGATAAGCAGACCTTAAGTAGGAGCAAAGCAGGGGGAAAACGAGCAGCAAGAAAACGAAACGGTGTCATAGTAAACAGACGTAAGTCATGTTACTCGTGAGCAGTCAGGAAACAAGGAAAGTTACCCTTGTTCACCGTTTATTCATAGGGGGAATCAACAGGTGGCTTACCTCCACTGCCCCCCCACACGTATCCTATAAATAAGTTTTTACTACTATTCTCGAAGATTGTGAGTTCGAATCTCTTCGGGCTTTGTATGATTCACATTAGCGAAACAGGTTTGCCTAGGAGCCCCAAACCCCGTTAACTTTTTTTCTGGACCTAAGAAATCGAAAGCCATAATGAATCTCCTGCTGATAATTCGCATGCAAACAAAAACAAAAATCAAATCGTTCAGCTCTAGCACCCTTTCGGTGCCTAGCTGCCATGCCACACGAAGGAGACATGAGGGCCGGGATCCTGCCAGGTTGCCCAAGCCCAGATAGGGGAAGTCGAGAGGCAGAGGTTCGGGTTCGAACAACGGACCTTCCGGTGAGTAAATTCGCGCTCTAATCACTTGATCCATCTCGCCCCAATTTCGAATGCCGTGACCCCTGAATCTGACAAAGCCAGTAGAGCAATTCTTGTACTATTCTTATGCAATTCTTTTACCTATAGAGGAAAATGCCGGTAGCTCAGGTAGCGTAGATGGTGGTCGTTGGCTTTTTTCTGAGCTGGGCAATTTGATATCAAACATTTCATCACCAATCGAGGTGACATCATTAGTGCGCTATTGGGGAGCGTAGTAGTGCGTAGCGGTGGGTTAGTGAATAATAAAATAAATAATCGTTCACATTTCCGGTGCCTAGCTGCCATGTCACCCGGAGGAAGCACGAGGGCTAGGATACTGCCAGGCCGCCCAGGTCTAAACAGGGGAAGTCGAATGGCACAGGTCCGGTTCGAACCACGGACCTTCCGGTGAGTAGATTCGCGCTCTAACCACTTGGGCCATTTCTGAGTGGGTTAGTAGTTGTGCTACTACTAAGGTCGGACCCGACCTTCACATTCTCATTCCTACCGATGCCATTCAGCTGGGAGCTTTTCCGCGCGTGGTTTCTGCTTGACTTTCCGGCCTAGGAGCGCGTAATGGGAATGTTAGTGGTGCATTACTTTACTCAATCTCTGAGCTTTTTTAAATCTACGGGTAGAAGTCAAGTAAAAGGTAATTATCGTTCCGTTTGGGCGGTACACAACCATAAATAAAGGCCGGATAAAAGTTGACAGATATTATCGGCCAGCGTGTTTTTGGTCTGGACATGTTTAGTGACTCTGTCATCCATGTGCCAGTCGCGAATTGCACAGAAGTTACTTGGATACATTGAGTGCTGTGCCAGGTGGATACCACCAAGAAGAGAGCTACTCGAACTCTCATGTGCAGGAAAACTCCCGGGATTTCGACCAGGTGGACGGTCGTCATGGACTACTAGGAGAATGGCTTCTCTGAACGCTTCTCGATGTGAGCTTAATGTTCGTGGCTTCTGGTCTGTTCAGGGATCTGCAATATTAAAAAACGGATTGCTCGGATTAAGGCACTGTTTCGGTTTGGGGATAAGTTTACTTACGTTTTTATATTTATAAGATCGGTGGATGTTCTATACATTCTGTTTGCCTTTTTTCGTCTTACGCGTTATGTTACCATCACAGACAGTTTTTAAGGTGACACACTGCTTTTTGTGTACTGATTTCAGAACTACTACCGTCAATGATTCCTTCGCGGGCTCCGAATCCGCTGCCGAAGAAGCCTAAGTGAGTGCCAAATTTTGACACCTGTTGGTTTTTGAAGTCGAAACAACTATTTAACTCAGCGGAAGACTAATTTCACAAGACGGAAACTTCCTTCGAGGAGCCACTCATCGCATGATCACGTCATGTGGTTTCCTTGATTGGAGGGTGAATGGCGCTGTCCTGTCTAAGTGAGGGCTGATCACATCCCTGATCAGCCACTCGTGATCAAACGGCTAATTGTTCGACTACTGTCCGGCAGATCGTGGATTCGAAACTCAGTCTCGTGAGATGCGCACTGCTGATGATTCTCAATAAGGACCAAACAGCTGTACACAGCTTCCCAGATTCTTAGCGTAGATAGGTCTCACCGATAGGACGAAATTTCTACTAAAGTAAACGATTAGTCCTCTTCCGCTTTTGGTAGACATATGGGACTGAGTAGGATGACATCACAAACTGTTTTCGCACATTATTATTTTTGACAGCTTTTGATTTGGGAATTCCGCTCCCTTAAGCTCAAGATACCCCAGTAGTTAAGGTGCGAACTTACTGACTGGAAGGTTCATGGCTCTCACACAACCCCAGCACTTCGACTGGTTCTGTCTAGACTTGGGCAGCCTTCCAGTATCTGAACCCTCGGGTGGCATGGGAGCTAGGCACGGAAAGGGTGTTACAGCTGAATTATGGTTAATACGCCCTCTGTAAATGCGTCCTCTATTTATTCCCAGGTGGGATTGGACCTTCACAGACCAGATGAATGTGAGTGTGACCATTGAATTTCCGGAATTCCAAACCGCTTTTGATTCCTTGTCTTGGGTAGACAACCTACGTGCATTGGCCGTGTGGGTTCCACCCCCTGAAGATTCATCTCGCGGAACATTGATCATTCGCACCCTTTTAGATGACGGAACCTATCATCGAATCGCTCTACGTAAGTAAAACCCTCAGTCAATTGCACATGAACTCTCATGTATGCCACATTTTTCTACGCTTACTTAAAAAGGAGCTGATATAAAATTGATTGTTAAACTAGTCCAAATGCTGTTCTGTGTACATTCTATTTCTCATAGGCGTAATGCGAGACGTGTGGTCGAACTGTGGATTTCACTTTCTAATGATTTGTCTTTTTGGGGTGATCTTACTCTTACCAGATCGATGTACCAACTAACTGATTCTGCGCAGCGATCAGCCTACAAAAATTATATCATTTTTGCAAAGTACATTCATTTGCACACCGATTTGGATTCAAGTAGAACATAAGGTTGACGGAAGCCCAGGAACTGTGTTCACCCGATGAGCCCCAAAAAGAGCGAAACAGATTGTGGGCTTTCGGCGAGTTTTCAGTAACTTTTTGAGTAGTTTCCTTCAGGATCTAATTATTGATTTTATCACCACGATAGCCCTTCTAGGGACAGACGTTCGCCGGCCATTGCTCCCTAAATGGATCCCGTCAGCACTGCGTCCGCCTGAACTCGGACCAATGATTCTCTTCATTTACGAATTCGACGATAATCCATTAAGTTACTGTGGAAGTTCATAAGGTTTTCCTAAATTCGGTATGGAATGCTTTAGACACTTGCTCGCATATAAGCCAACCACAACGGGACCACTCTCCATTGATCTAACAGGGAGCAAATACGAAGTTCACAGTCCACTTGGCCTGTTCACCTTAACACCGGGTAGTTTTGCCGTTTTCTCCAGACAACGCGCACAACCGAGATTTTTGCAACGATCAATCAATACCGACCGGGCTTATGCGAGAAAAAGCTGATATAAGCCAGCAACTGGCTTTGGGGTTAAGGACAACTTGTAATTGGTGCCGAAATTCATTGGCTTCATTGAAATGTTTTCTTTATTTTTACTTGTATTGCCAATTCAAAGCTTCATTACTGTTGAAGCTATGCAATCACAATGGCAATAGTCCACAGCCTGCGCCTTGGAAACGCTTTCGTCTTTTGAATACTGTGGTCGAGAAGTCCTCGAAGCTCGTGGAATTCTTTTCCCTAAAACCATACCGCATCAGCCCCTAGGGCAATATTTCATAACCGTCCGTCCGACCAAGAGCTGGTGGTCAAGATTAAGTGCTGCAGTGATCCAAGATATCTTAGCAGTTAATGCGCGGAATTAATGACATGAGGGTTCGTGGTTCGAACCCAACCCGGACATCTCGACTGCTTTTGTCTAGGCTGGGGCAATCTGACAATATTTCAGCCCTCGTAACCTTTTGGAGTGGCATGGCAGCTATGCATCGAGTGCCGGTGCTGAGCGATTATTACTGATTATTATGTACTTGACCTCTGCCTGTCGAATCAATCCCTATCCTGTCTCACTCTGCTAATTGTTCAGTCGCCCAACGCGCCTGAACCCCTCCTTTGGCCGACAGAACGATTTTCTTTATTTCACTTAGGATTTCTTACGCTTATAATTCTCTTTCACTTCCTACCCTTCAAAATTCTTACAGACTTCCAGTTTCCATGACTGGAAGTCCGTGACACTCTGCAGTTGTGACTTGTTCACGCTATTGATTTTCTACGTACTGGTGTCTCGTTGTTTTTTCACGTTTTTAGTTTATTTGATGTGTATCATTCTTGCGATTGGGTTGCTGATTGTGAGTTCTGCACTTCACCATTGTGTGTCATCATCACCGGCTGCATATAACCAGAAGGGGGAACGCTGTGACAAACAGTTGAGCGGGGGGTTATTACAGACAGTCTCATGTCCTTGTGGGAGGCAATCAAGAACACCAAGATTGTTCTTCCTTCTCTCAGCTCAGCGTCACAGCTCTTCACAGCTTCACTCCAATGGCGCTATATTTCACGTTTGATTACTTTGTTTATCGGAACACCGTAGGCAACAGGGTTCTCAGTCAACCACACTAAGCGGGCTACTGTGGTTCAGAAGGATATGAGCCAGTTCGAAAACCGTCGGAAGTCAACAAAAGTGTTTGTAGGGAATTCGACGTCAGGAGCTATTTTTGCTGAACATTCACTGAATGACCGGAGCCCGAGTTTTCTTGCATCCGGATGGCAGTTTCTCAAACCTCACCCCATCCAATGGTATATTGGGGGGTTACCTCCCTTCTCTTTTTTGTTCGTTGGCGATATACTGACGGATAAGTTCTTGTCTTGTTATAACGCTCTAATATTCCTGAATCGTCCGTCTGTAGGCTTGAGTGTGCGATGGATCGGACCTCACGGTGATCCAGACAATCGTAAATACACTAAATAACTCAATTACGCGATTTCATACCCTCAAATCATATGGTGTTGACGCGAAACTAGGTTGGACCATACCCAATGCTCATGTGTACACACGAGCCAACCAGTGTGACAGACAAATTTGTAGTTGCATCGGTTCCTCCACCTTGAACAGGGACAGTGGAGATGGCTTTTACCAACCCACGCGACTTCAGCTTGTCGGGTGGACAGAGTTTGTCCTACACTGTTACACCGGTCGGAAACCTAGTCAGACGAGCTCGACCACCGACTTATCCGAAGTATTGCTTGAATCTAGTGGAAACTTCAGGTCGACAAAATGAAACCCGTCTCGCAGATGAGCTTATCGTACTTCATGTGTTGCGCTAGCTTGGTCATGTGCTCTTAATACCGCGTGGCTGACTGTTGACTAAGATCATCCCGATGAAGGTGAGGTAATGATGTGGCATAGAAACAGAGCGCGTGAGTAGCAAATTCATTCGCATCCGCAGCTAGATGAGGAACCGAGGCGCGACGCGTCCATTGGTAGACACTGACAGACATGACAAAGTCCCGCAATTAATAGCATTTATGCAGGAAAGTTGTTATCTTCAGTGTATGCTCCTCTCCTCAATCCCACCCTGCACTGGTAACAACACAAGCGTCACTTACCTAGTCCAATCATTCCAGTTGTCGTTCTCAGTTAGTAGTTGTTGCTCGCATTTCCAATATAATCGGTGAGCTAGACTGCACCAGATATGACCAATTTACACCTCCCACACAGTGTAATGCTGGTAAGGATGATTATCTATTTAGCAAGATGACAACACAAACGTCTGTTGGATGTGAACTTTCATCCGTTGGCAAAACCTGGGGACTATCTAAATAAACATTGTTTTTCAAGACGGTAACAATTAAACTACCTTCTCAGCCTGTTTTCTCTTGAGCTAGCTTGCAACTTGAGCTCAGTCTCCAAACGTTAGTCAATAACTGATGAGAACGTACCTACATATGAGAATAAGTTGGTTGGCCTGATGGTTCAGTAACTCGTTTTTCCCATGTGTTACAGGGATATCTTTGGATAGTATGGTGAATGCGTTAATGCGGTCACAACGAAATGAACGAGTGTGCTATTGTACTAGATGCCCTGTCCAAAGGGCCTTTTGTTACTATGCGCAGTGTGTTTGTTGTTTTGTCAGGCATACCCAGGCAATGGTCGACTCCCGCTTTATTTGATATGAAGTTGTTCAAAATTCCAGGCGGAAAAGGTCGTTTATTTGTTTCCTTCTCCCTTTGTCCAAGGTCTTTTGCCGTCACTTTCACCCCGCTTATCTTCCCTTCGTTTGACCAAAAGCACCTCCCATTCGGCGCCTGATGTGACAGGCTCGGTTCTAAGCACTGATCGATTCAGACTGTCCTTGGACATTGTTCACATTCAGCCAAAGTCACCATCACTCACTTCCATAGGATCCGTGGTGTCGGATACGATCAGCTCCTTTCCGGACGCTGATTCAGGTGAGTGCGATCTCTGGTATGCCTATGTCTTCTGCCTCTTTTCCTGGTCACATCCATTAATATTTCTCGTTTCACTTACAGACGAATCATTTTTCACCTGCCGTGTGAAAGAATGTGAGCGCGTAGCTAATTCTCCATACCGACTGGTCCGGTTGTGTTGGGCATCGGATACCGCTTGGATACCCGTTCCACTGGGCCATCACGTGATGTTACGGATCAAGGATCAAGATGGTGGGTTTCCGGCACTTTCTCCGCTAACCACTGACCACTGAATGCTATGTAAAGAATCCCCTTCAGTGGTTTCCTTGATTTTTTGGCATTTCGATACATTGTAGAACGAGGTTGTGGCGCTTCGCGTTACCTACATGTCGTTGCAGTTTAAGTTTTCGCAATTATTCATTGGTCGTCAGGTATATAGTAGTTAGTTTTATATATTCAACTCATGGGACGATCGAAGCCTTCAAAAATTCTGTGGAGGGTGAGCTGTGCCTGCTAGGAAGCTCGAAATCCTTCTGAATTCGTAACCAGCTCAGCACTGAGAGATTCGGAAGAGCGGCTCGTTTCCCTTGAAATCTTTCCCCTAACAAAGTCATTTCGTACCTTACCTTGAGATAAGTTGGCAGTATTGGCGCTTATTAAAAGCGTGTTAACTGAAGACAAGATTCCGTAGCATGTGGCTGTATTATTTCACAATGAGAACAGAGCCCCATGGTATTTCCAAGTGCATCATGAGTGGTGCAGATCAAGGTCACAAATGCAATCTGGCAAACGTAAATATCTTTGTGTGCGGACACACGAGACGCGGATGGGAGTTTCTGGAAGCATGGTATTCTGCGACGAAGTTGATCAACCGGCACGTTCATTTACATTCAGTTTATGCATTTACATGCGAAGGAAGAATATACCAACCGGAAACTCAAAGAAAGCCGATTATTGGAATAACAAACCAAGAATAGGGATTCTCTGGGAGTCAGATCAACAAAGGTTACAAAATAGAACACAGAGAGGTCAAAGACAGAGGTTACTCCGGCACCGACCGGAAGACGGGTAAGGAGTCCGGGTTCCAACGTCATGCGGTCACCGACTAATCAGGACACAAGATAACAGACCAGCCAGCGGAACCGCGATGGTCGAGGGTGAGTCCCTGCTAGCAGCACTTACATCAACACACTCGCACTATTAATCAACTCACGGCGACTGACTCGTTGCTACGCTCTACTCCGCCGCCTAACAACACACTGATGACGTCTCCTCGACTAGCGATAAAAGGTTTGCAATGAAGTTACCCAGCTTAGCATATAACCAACGACCATCGACTCGACTTGAGCCACCAATATTCTCCTCAATATTGAAAGCGCAAGGTTTTGCTTGCGTTTCGAAAGTTTATTTTTGGTGCATGTGCAACCAAAATAAGCCTGTCCAGTCATTTTTGCTTGACTGTTTTTCTCTACAAGGATAAAGTGTACAGAATAGGACACCTCATATGTTTGAAAGTTTCTGTTACCATCATTCTCGCTTTCTTTTTTGGTTTAAGTATAGGGCTGACTATTAGAAATCCCGCATACTCCTTCGAAAATTAACCTTTCCCCACGCATTTTGCCACGGCAACTTTTCAGTTTCACTGTGCTATTGAAGTGAACTTAATTCGGGCGAATAAACCCATCCAACAAATTGTATAAGATTGGATAGGTAAAGATCACTGGGTCGAAAACTAGGCCAAGTTGTTTTTTAATAGTTAAAATGAAATTCTATCCTCGCCTGTAGTTTATGGTCCGACCATCCGATACACGGGTGACCTAACCAGTTCTATTTAGATCAGTGCAGAAGACTGCTGTGTTGTGCATGCAGTGAAAAAATGTAAGTTAGGTGAAAGATTCCAAAGTCCCACGTGCTAAAAAGAACATTAATTTTAGTGGAAACATTCTTTTGTCAGTTGGAAATACGGGTTGTAACACTGTGGGATGATGTATGGCTTGGTCGCTGCCTTTCTAATCTCCATTGTGGCTTGATCACTTGTACCGGTCGAGAGATGCAAACGAACTCAGTTTAGGAAACTGATGAGGGATCCCTCATGCTCAGTTTTCAGTTGTAAGGCAATCTTAAGAGTAGATTTTATGGTGTCTTGTGAGGATCGACTCTGCAGGCATATCTCATTGTTGTCATACTAACCATCATAAATCGTATGCTTCTTTTCCCACAGGGAACTTGATCTCACGGCCGTACACGCCTGTGACGGATAATCTTACCTTCAGTGATTGTCAACCTCCATCGGATCCTATTTCAGCAACCATGTTGTGCCTACTAATAAAAATCTATCCTCATGGCCAGATGTCCCAGTTGATTGACAAGCTGAAACCTGGTATGTTTGTTACGCCTTATCAGTAGCCTGCGTTGGAAAAACCAAAACCTAACTTCATTCGTCTACATGTCACTTTCAATTCAGTCATAAATTTTGAACCATTGTGCACTAGTTTTGCCAGTATGCCCCATAGGTTGTCAGTGTGCTGAGCTGACGATTACTAGTTATTCGATTCAATGCAACCATGTACCGAAACAGGAACCGGCTGCGGATGTCGAGGATGTGGATCGCTTCACTGTATGTTGTTGAAATGTCATCGCTACTCATGGCGGAACCAATGCGTTCGAATGTACGCATTGCACTCGTGAGTGTCGTTCGTTTCGGATTTCAACCGCTCTGCAGGCCGAGAAGGTGTCGCAATTCAACACAGCCTTTGTGTTTGCCAACTGAAACTTATTTCATGTATCTAGCAATAATACTGGTATGAGTCTGACCCATCAGCTGAGGATCATCCCAGATGATAAGTTGTAAATCGTTATCTGTGAGATCATGTTCTTCCAGTACAATCAGAAATTTTCAAGAAATTTAAAAATGATGCCGTTTTGCTGATTCCAAAAAAGCTCCTTGTTTGTCAGAATGCAGCGGCTTTTCTATCTCAGACAGTGTAATCCCGAGAAGTTTTGCAACTGTGGTTAATCGTTTTCAAACTTAAAAGGTAGGTGATGAGCCCCAAGAAGGGCGAAACTGGTCGTGGGCTGTCGATGGATTTTCAGCAACCTTATGAGTAGTACGTCACAAATATATACATGTATCGCGATATTTCAAATATCGTAGCGACTGAAACATGAGGCGGCCTGGTGCAGCACATTCAGTTGCCTGAGAACATCATAAACGAGAGATTCAGCTGGGTTCCAGGTGAGTCTCTCGAAAGAACCAAATTAGTTTGCAGATGAGTGTATATTNGGTGCAATTTGGTTTCAAGTAGAACCTAAGGTTGACGGAAACCCGGGGACTGCGCCTACCTGATGAGCCCCAAGAAGGGCGAAACCGGTCGTGGGCTGTCGATGGATTTTCAGCAACCTTATGAGCAGTACATTACAAATATATACTTGTGGAAAGGTTAGGCTGTTTACAGCAAAAGCTGCAGAGTTTGGTTAGATTTTGTGCCAACCTGACTCCCGTGTTTTGGGTCCCCTGGACTGTGTGTTTCATGAGCCGGTAATGATGGCTATCTTGAGGGCAAGATGGGTCAGTGGTTAGAGTGCGAATTTACTGACCGGAAGGTCCGTGGTTCGAAATCAACCTCTGCCGCTGGACTTCCCCTGTCTAGGCTTGGGTAACCTGGCAGTATCCCAGCCTTGGTGGTTTATTTGGGTGGCATGATAGCTAGGCACTGACAGTACGTTGCAGCTGAACGATTATCTTATCTTTTTATCTAGAAAGGGTGACCGTGACAAGTCAAATTGGCGCTTTGCTAGACGAAGAAAGCGTGCTTTGTGATCCGATATATTCAGAATATCAGGCGTATGTTTGTAACTTCTCACCGAACCCTTTCTGGAAAACTTCGTGCTATCTCTTCCAGCGGTCAAAAGGTTGGATGTGACTCTGGTCAACCGTTTCACATGTCACTCACAGTTTCACTAGTCGTCGGAGATTGGAATGGTTGTACAAGAAGCTGAAATGAAATTGGATGGGGTCTTTAAGAAGAGAGTTTGATCTTCTGGGCAGTTGACGCATCTGATGCACAGAAGGCAGTATATCCCGGGTTGCCTACTTCTCAAGACAAACTTTTGCATAACAATCGCACTTCAGCAGGTTCTCTTCAATGATTGAATGTTCTGTTCGTCAGTTTTGAAAATGAGACTAGACATGTGGTAAAATCAATTATCGTTCCAATTCTTCCGGCGACCAATAGTTAACTGTAACCCCCTTTATCCTGATTCATTAACCGAGATTTTATGGTCTATGTGTGAAGTGCTGACTTGATGACGAGATCCTCAAAATCAGCAGTTGGTCCCCTTGTAAGCTCAGCGATATGTTCTGGGCAATCCGTTCACTCCATTCCACTTTGCAGACCAATTATAGTTTGCCACTTTTACGACTCACAAAAGTGTCTCATATTTTTCAATTTCTAGGCGATGATGTTGAAATCAGTTATCCTGTGGGATCTGTGTCGCCGAACTTCCTAACTCGAATACCCGCACCAACTTCCCTCTCCACTCGCCCCCAACAGGATCTGATCGCTGTGTTTATGCTCGCTGCTGGAAGCGGAATCACTCCAATGGTACGATCACTTGAACTATTACTGGCCTGTGAAAACTGTCCGTTCAGCAACTCCACGCCGACGGTTCATTTGATCTGTTTTGACCGAACACCTGCCAATCAAGTGCTAGTTAGTGAACTAGGTGATTTGAGCCGCAGATTACCCCATCGGTAAGCTTGTACCATTTAATGTGATTGATTTTACCATTATCTTGTTGTAGATTGTCCTTGCTTCATGTTCTTTCAGATTGTTCTCCGATGGAGTTGGGTGAAAATTGCGTTACGGGGACCATTTCCGATCCAATTTGCAGGCGCGGCCTGTTGACTCTGCAGTTCAAGGATAAAGAGCCATCCGCGTTGAGAGTTCAAACGCTGTGGCTGATTTGCGGTCCCCTAGGTTTCAATAACGCAGCGATAGGGTGAGTTAAACTAAAGGTTCTCACAAACTTCCTAATTCGATTTCTGTACACAGCTTCCTAAGTGTTGCCCGGATGAATTCTTATATCAATAACCGATCCGTTTTGACTGGTATTCGAAAATACATTTTCATCTCGACAAAACAAATAAGGTTTGATCGGTTGGATTATTTTGATTTTGTGCACTGCGCGCATGACCCTATCGGGTTTCCTCACTACTTTGCCAGCATGCATACATACACATATTGTTCAGCTATAACACCCTTCCGGTGCTTAGCTGTCATGCTACCCGAAGGAAGCGCGAGGGCTGGGATACTGCCAGGTTGCCCAAGCCTAGACAGAGGAAGTCGACAGGCAGAAGTCGGGTTCGAACCACGGACCTTCCGATCTGCATATTCGCGCTCTAACCATTTGACCCATCTGTAAAATACACCTCACCGTCAATGTGATCCCCTCAGCCTTCGGACGGACACTGGCGACGCAATCTAGAGTCTCGCAGTAGATTTCTGCAGGTAAGGCGGTGCGTTTAGTGAAAACCACGCATCAATGAGCAGAAATGAACGTTGAGAACTTTCCGCTCCCATCACATCTCAAATCTACCTTAGGATGAGGATATTATTTACAGATTTGATCAAGATAGATTAGCGAAAGCGTCCATTTTGTCATACCTGTCGTGTGTTCACCTTCAGTACTCAGCCAGTCAAGTTACCACTCCCGTTCTGTTCGGGCATGGATGACCCCGTCGTGCAAGGAAGGCTATTTGAAACGGGCCTATCGAAGACAGGCAAGGGTGTATATGGGTGGGAGGAATGTTAATGTTTGGACCAGAATAAACAAGATACTCTGAGGTTGGTGGGCGGGTCTGATCTCAGACGATTTATCAACATAACGCTACAAGTTTGACAGTAACCCAAGTATCGAAGCTAGGCAACGGCATACTTGAGGAAACTACTTTGTTACTAACCTCCGGCCACTCACTAAGATTCTGGAGGGTCACTCATGAAATCAATCGTGTGGTCAGTTCGCCTGGACGGACTACGAGGCAACATTGGTTGACTGGAGAACGATGTCATCACAGAAGTGAACACCAGTATCGGATGCTTGTGTGCTGATCCGACTAGCGGTATGCAAACCTTTCGAAGTCGCTTTAGTTCCGTCCTATGAAATCAGACATGGTCTATATCAAGATGAACCTCCGTTTTTCGTCTTGTGGATTCTAACTGGATTGGGAGTAGTAACCAACAAATAATACTCGCTTGGTTGTGGTTTGTCTTTTTTATAAGGAATGCTTTATGGAGTAATTTACTGCTACCTTATTTAACACAAGAAACTGGAGACCGCGTTCAGCTCACATCCCACCGGTCAATCCCCTCGGTTGATAATTGCTGCAGCTTGTGTGACGTCAACTCTGCAAAACTATTTGAGTGAAATATTCGGTCGCCAAGGAAACAGTAAGCCCGAGCTTGAAATAGCTTGACGTTTAGGGAGCGAAACGTCGACCAAGAGGTCGGGGTTCGAGCCTAACACTAGCTTTTCTGTTGCTTGCCTAGGCTTCAGCACCTTCGTGCTTCCTTCGCGTTGCACAGCAGTTATGCACCGAAAATACTTCATCTTAAATCGTTGGCATGCTCGATCAACCGTCCTTCCTCATTTTTTTGTTTTTTACGCAAGTCAGAAGTGGTAATCTCAATGTGAAAAAAATGAAGCACAGCCAACAGCCCTAGCGGTACTAATTCTATGGTGGAGACGAACGTATTTTCCTTATTTGATTAAATTTACAAGTGGATTTTTACAAATCGTTTAAAAACACTGTTTCGTCTCATGGATATCAATTAAAACTGCAATCTATTTCCACAGGTCGTATTCGACCTCAACAAAACGTGTGTCTTTCTCCAGGAGTCGCATTTCATTATGGAGCTATCGGTAATGCTGTCAGCTGCCGGGTGAATCATGCTGCTACTGCAAGTGAATTTCAGTAGCTATGACTCACAGCAAGAAAATTTGGGTCGTAATCTCATTGCACACTTCATACACTCCCGGTTCTTTGGACCACGACATCATCATCATCATCATCATTGTCAGCTGTAATGACCGCGTACTCGTCGTACAGTGGTTGCAGCTGCCGCAGTTTCGTTCACCGATGATTTGGGGGAGGGGGAAGGTGGCTGCGCATTGCAGGCGCGAGCTGGTAAGTTGGTATATAAATCCAGCACTGTCAGTGGGCTGTCAAGTGGGGGGGGGTCGGAAAAGGACCTATGCATTGAAGGCAATAGCTTTGATGCACGAGCGCCATTGAGGGCGCGACTGGGCCAATGTCTGAC